TGGAAAGGGTGTGTGTGAGCACAAAATCTGTCCTAGGCAGCAATAATCCAGTCAATCACAGAGGTGTAAAGTGCCCTTCCACTTGGGAAAGTGTAGTGAAAATAAGCGGCCAGCACTCTTTTGTTTCATACTTGCTCTTTCACAGCAKTTCTTGAGATCAAGAGTGGAAAAGGCATAATTACCAGCCCTGAAAAGCTGGCATAGGGGAAGATCTTCCAGGCATCACTAGTAAGAGCATCAGCCAGAAGTCTCCTCCTCTCCTCCACTCACCCAACTGCTCTCAGATGACAGTTCTGTCATGTATTGTGCATCCAGAGGTGTGCACAGGAGTCTCATCTGCACTTTCACCCCAAAGCCTGAAATGTCTGAGGTACTGCCATCCCATTTAGATACTTGCCAGCACTTTAAAAGCTGCCACTGAAATACTCCTTAATCCTGGAGGTGTATTTTTGCTCATCAAAATTTGTAAAGCCTGCCTTACAACTTATTAGCTGCTTTGAATCTTAKCTCAAAGTGAGACCCGAGGTGTGGTACACAAAGTAGGGAAGGGAATGCCTTTCTTGCTTGAAGGTCTTAACCCTTCAGCTTGTAAGAGAAAGGGTAGATGCAGGCCCCTGACATGTGGAAGGCATTTAAGCGCTTGCACAAAGGGTGGGAGGGGAAGGGAGGAGAGGAGGCAAACATCAAATGGAAAACAGAACCCTGGAAAAGCTGCTGTCAGCTGCCAAAGCATGGGGCTACATAAATTGTTGAGCTGGCATTGGTGTCCAGCCTCTGGAGAAGTCTGACTACTGGAAGCTCAACTAGAGAGCCATATATCTGATCAGCTGCATCAGGAAATACTTGAGTGCCTCTGGCCCCTATCTTCTTTTTTGGTATTTTAATCTTCATTAGTTTTAATCTTCATTAGTTCATGGCAACTCAGATAACCAAAATCTGTGTCCAGAGCCTGGGGCAGAAAATATCAGAGGCAGCAGGCTGCATTCTTTGCAACAGAAACAGAGTAAAATCAAGTAATTCCAACAAATCTCATCACTGTCTTCTAATTGCTGTCCCGTCCACATTTCAACTTGCTTCCAAATTCAGCTGCAGCTGTTATCAGGTATGTTTTCTGCTTATCACACAGTTGTAACTAGCACTTCATGGCAACAATTCATCCTCCTCTTTGGGCTTCAGATAGCCCCATGGCACCTTCCAGCAAATGAATCAGAGTTCTGCATTTTTGCAGTGTATTCCTTACTCATCATTTTGTATAAGTTTGATGACTCTTCTGTCCTCTGAGGTCTGCATGTAGTAGAGCACCCCCAAATACACTGTGTCATGGTGCTGCTGTTCTGTGCCTCGCCTGGGCCAAGTGGCTATGGAACAGATGGATATGCTATAAAACACCAATAACAACAGTTTGCATACCYAGACTTTTTACACCAGAGAAACTAGTTATTGTTAGTTAAAAGACTGTGTTCAATTAGGTTACAAAAAAAATTCAAAGAAATGRTGTCTGCTGGCAATTGAAAATTGTATTGCTATCGTTTTATTATTATTTTTTTAATTAGCAGATAAGAAGGGCAGGCAAAGTGGATTTAGATGCATGACMAAGATCCCCTCTTTGCTAGCAGGATAGCAATAATAGTGTTATAACTTGTGTTTTGTACAACATATATCTCAGGTTCTAACAAAGATACAATACCTCATCCCCTGAATTAGTTAAAGAAATAAACAGGCAAGCACTAACTGCAAGTAATTTTGTTCCATTTCATTCTCTTCCAAAAATTAATCATAGAGTTCATGAGCTTATCTTACTAACATGAAACTTGTCAACTCTCCTTTTAACTAACTCCAGCCCCGTAGCTTTRAAGCTTGCTAGGGTTGTGGGGCATGGAGCTGAGCAAATTTCCCAGGAAATCTTGTGCATGTGTGTGGGAGGGGGTAGCATGCCACGATTATGGTCTCACTGTAGCATTTTGCAACCATTTCCAATGTCACGGTGACCTGCAGTTATTTGAAAAGGAAGTTTCCAGCTGCAAGTATCTTTAATTTGCAAGTCTTACCTACTCACTGAAAGAARCCTGCTGGGACTGGTATGCATCCCTATTAAAGTCATGTGAACGCTTTTTCATGTTTTTAATTAYGCAGTTTACATGACACTTCTGATCTCATGACAATTACATAGGAACTCTGGTCAGGTTTGCCTTTCACAGCTGAAGAGTGCCACTGAAACAATTTTTATATGTAAGCACCGGGATGTACAGAGTGGAACCAGAGATGAGTCAGCAGCTAGCTGGGGTTATTTGAATAGCAGAACAAGCCCTGCCTGCCGCTAGGAAACCRTCCACAAAGGTCAGACCAAGTGCTTAGGATTTAGACACCACCACCCTGGTGACAGGAATTCTCTTCAAACCCTTGGGATTTTTTGAACAAGCACGGTTCTGTTTGACATTTGGATGCTGCTGTATTAAATACCGGCTGCTTGGTATCCAAATGAAGAATGCTCACACCATCGGTAGAACCCACAGCGAGGCGTGCCTGCCACACTGACAGACGCTGCTCTCTCCCCAGACACGGGAGCTGGGCTCTAAAATTAGTAACTACTAAAACAAGGCTATTGAGTAAGGATCTGCTGAATCTCATCAAGAAATGCTCAAGAGGAGTAAGGAGTCACACTGCCCTTCCTTACAGGRATCAGGGCTGTAATTCACATGGAGGGASAGCACACCTCCCTTGYTCAGGGATCATCAGGTGCTGAGCCMCAGCAGCTCACAAAGCACGGYGTTCAGAGGGAGTAAAGACAGTGGGAACCTTTACMAGTTATTACCTACACTGGCAGGAGTTTGTGTGGGGGGTGTTAAGCCAGATACAGGATGTGTGAGACAGTTCCCTGGCAAGGCACTGCTTCTCACAAACAGTCCTGGAGAGGAAACGGTTTAAAAGCTAAAACTYATTTAGGGTTCAGCTCTGTTGCCTCTGCAACCACAGGAAACAAGCATCCCAGCCCCACTTGTGAGTCATAGCTTTTGGGAACTTTACCTTGAAGAGCAGGAAAGAACCCTCTCAAGGTAGAATGGATTTCTTTTATTCCTTCTCCTGGGATCACTGCCTAAGCTCCTTCATTTGCCAAAAAAAAAAAAAAAAGAAAAAAAGAAAAAAAGAAAGCACAATAAGAAACAACTGCTTGTGATGGTTCCACCCTCCCTTATTCAATTGTTCAGTGGTTTAACATTCAGCCTGAATGTTGCAGACCTACTTTTAATTCTCTCTTCTAGCTGAGAGGATTCAAGGCCACATTGTTCCCGCCCTCCACTCAAGTGACCTAGCTACAAAACAGCTGAATTAATAATAAAAATAAAAGGAGAAAGACATCCCACGACAAATGCCTTCATGTTCTGCTGACCCACTTCAGTGAGAGCACTTGAAAATTCTGTGGCTCTTGCTGGGAATGATTTTGCCAGGACTAAGAACTGCAATTAGTCTATAAAACCAGTGTTACTAGTTCCAGACACACACAGACTTTAAGGCACCCTCTGCATCAGAGCTGAGCAGGGCTTTAAAATTTCTTTGAAAAAGAAATCCCAGGCCTCTGAATTACACACCAAAARTCCATTTTTATCATTCTCTCTGACATGTTTTTATGAGAACATGAAATGCCATTAAACTCAAGACAGTAAAACCAAGATTCTGCCAGAGGCAAGGCTAAGAACAATAGTATTGGTAGACTACAATTCATCATCACCAGGCCAAATGGCACATAGGTGTTGCTATACAGCAACACAGCCTGGCCCATAAGCAGGCACTAGGGTTTAACAATTGGCATTTATTGCTGTAGGTAAATACCAGCTGCCTCACTCTGAGCCACAGCAGTTTAGTTTACAGCACAGGTTTTAGCTTTCGTATGTAAACAAAGTTATGCAAACATACACATTTGAATTTGGGGTGGCTTTTTCAAAGCTAATCTTAACAAAAGGAGAGCTCTTATTGARACACTAAGAAGTGAAATGCAGGAGCAGTGTCTCTGGTTTGAGTTACAAGGAAGGCYGTAAGTCCTTTTGAAACCCAGTCTTTGCCAAATAGACACCACATGTGTGTTTGTACATGTACGCCTGTAACAACGGCTTGCAGAGGCTTCATTTTACTCTTTTCTGTAATGAACGAATTTGATTAAAGGGCCAAAAATTCAGCAYGAGCAAAAGCTGCAGTGTGAAAAATCCCAGCATTATTAGTCCTTGCTGTCGCAGAAGTGGGGCTTCTGTGGAAACCGACTGTGTTTTCCCCTGTGTCCACTGCACCAAACGAGCTCCTCGGGACTTAAACCCTCCCGCAAAAATCAAMAAACAAACCAAAAGCAAGAAAAATTTGGGCTGGGAGCCGCTCGCCCTYCGCAGCTGAGTTCGTGCCGGGAGCTGCGCTGCCACCTCCTGGTGGCTCCGGGGATGGCCCCAGCCGCTGGCCACAGGACTTTGCCTCCTTCAGGAGTATCAAAATCGGCAGTAATTTATTTCACTGATAGTTTACAAAAGTTCTTGTTCGAGCTTTTAATCTCTGCCCTCTCCAAACGCGAGTATTTTTTCTGGAAAAAAAAAAAAAAACCCTAAAAAAACAGCGACTGAGAGAAACCATTTGTGAAGCATTTGGATTTCTTCCAATTCTGTTCAGCTTCTTTTCCCCATCTCTGCTTTTCCCCACTCTTCGTAAAAGCCCGCTGGCAGCAGCACCGAGATTATCCCTGTGTGTCCACAGCTCCCAYGCCTTGGCAAAGCTCACTCGGTCTGAGGGAGAGCAGGAGCTTCAGAGCTTTAATCACTGTCCTCCAGTGACATTTCCTAAAAGTTCAGTTYGCAACAGCAGCCTACCAAGAAGCAGCAAAATGCTCTTGGCCAAATGAGTTTTCTTAATTTTGTAACGTAAATTCTGAAGGGATTAACAATGTGATTCCTAGAAGTGTCAGAAGCAGCTCTGATTATCCTTTCTCTCAAGACAAAAAAAAAAACAAAACTCAAAACAAAACAGGACCACAGGAATTCAGATTATGGCGAAATTGCTTCAGAACACTAGCAAATCTGCCACGCCTTCCATACCACAAAAACTATAGAGGATACAACTATGAGAAATGGAACAAAAGGGAATGCCTCAGTCTCACACATCCAAAGCATCACTCTCAGCAGGAGGTCTTAAAAATATAGTATACATTGTTTCATTTAAAAACCAAGAATGACATTTTCAGATGGAAAACAAAAAGGACAGAGACAGCACACCTTCCTTCTTCATCTGGCCCYGTTCTTACTGTGCTTTGAAAAAAAGATAGAAAGATTAAATAAATAAATGGTTGCAATGAAATGTCATTAATTCAACATTGGCAGCCACACAGATCTAGTAAGAAGTGTCACTCAAGCAACTCTACCCATATATGACATCTTGTTTTAAAGAAAACACTAGGATTCACATCATAAGTTTTTTAAAAGTGGTATTAATAAAGTACTCAGTGTAGAGAAATGGAGGCACTGAGGTGATAAAATACATGCTCAACTACACCCATAAGATTTAAAATGTTTAATGTGCAAGTCTTGGACATATATGATTAATTTACAATACACTAAAATTGGAATGATGGGAATTTCTTCTTCATTGTGTATGCTCACAGCAGCAGGTGAAATACTCGGTTGCTAAAGTATAAACATCAGTATGCTTAAGTGGCTTATGCATCATTTTTAAGGCAAAAATGGGTAACAAGACAACTGCACAGTTGCAAAAATATTTACAGATATCATTAGAGAAACACTGYATTTCTAGCACAAAAATTTTGATGATCTACTTAGTAGAACAGTGGTTTTTTTAAAAAGTTATCATTAAAAATGTAAAATTAATCTAGCTAGGATGAGTAGCACTGACATTTTTACACTGGCCTTCTCACTGCCTGATCTTTGTCACTCAACCTCTACCACGTAAGCTCTCCTCTCTCTCTGCCACTTTCCAGTCCTATTACAAAGGTGCAGGTGTGCCTGAGCAGCCWTAGAATCCACAGAGGAAAGAGCTGCAGTGCTAAAAATGTATGCAAAAGGTCCCAACAAGAAAAAAAAAAGAAAAGAAAAGATCCTGAGAAATAAAATTAATGAAAAGGCAAAAAAAAAAAGCGCTATCTGCAGGTATCCAGGGACTTGCTCAGTCATCCTTGTCCTTTGCTCCATGTTTCAGGATGCGTGTGAATTCAATGTAGTTGAAATTGCCCTTTTTGTCGATGGGGGCCTCTCTGTACAGCTCATCCACCTCTTCATCCGTGAACCTGTCCCCCATGGTGGTCAGCAGCTCCCGCAGGTAGTCTTCTTGGATGAACCCTGGAAGGAGACGTGCAGAGAGAAACACAAAAAGGGAAGCCAAGACTCTTAGCTGGGTCTCCAAAAGCAGCAGCACAGACATGCCAACAGACGGGCAATTAACCAGTGCAGCACGTAACACATCACATCTGACTTGCACAGAAAGCCAAAAATACTCCCTTAACTGAATTCTAAAGAAATTCCTTGAGTGCAAAGGAAAAGGAAGTTTAATGCATTTCATACTGATTTTTGAAGACAGGGCTTGACCTGCTGTGGTATAATAACTCTTATTTCCATCTCTTCAGCGGCTCAAAGTGGAAAAACAGGTTCCTGTCACTGCTAGTCTTCATTATACAAGCAGTTCTCTTAAATGAACTATATTTTTCTTGACTTAATTAGATATATTTGCACATCCTCTATAAACTAGTTTCCCCTGGGGACTAAATAACCATTTTGGCTCTTCAGCGCTGCACAACACTTTTGCTGGAGGCAGTTTATGTRGATACAGTGAACTCCTGGCAAGTGTCCAGGGAAGGAGTTTATAACAGAAGAGACTTTCAGACAGGACTGAACAAGTTAGCTCAGGAGGCAGGAAGAATGTTTATCATAAAGGTGGAGAACCCAGTAAAAAAAGTATTACTTCTAAGTATTACTTACTTTATGCTAAAAAAGGCAGATTTTTGAGGAAGCTAACAAAGGAGCAGTTTCTAGGTATCTTCTACTAATTCTATTTCAAGAGATGGGGAGAACCACCAACTGACAAATAATTCCAGGAAAAATTAGAGATGAAAAAGAGAACATGCATAACAAATGGTAGATAATAGAATGCAGAAATTGCTAAATGCTGAAATACGACCAGCCATGCCTTTAACAGCACAACAGTTGCTTCATTTGAGAAAAAATTGGTTATTGAACTATAGTTGGAGAACTGTCAATACAGAGCAGACAAGGTAGAAGTAAGTTCCAGAAAGCAGATATGTAAACCCTGGAACAGTTGGAAATCATATACAGACACCCACATCAACTGATGTAGATTCAATYAGAATGTGATAAAAAAAGTTCTGCTTTGGAAAGAGAGCTGAATAACTTAAGCAAACAGTTCATTAGACAGACAAAACCAAACAGGGACTCAGGAGACCAAAAAGCAGTCAATGAGCATGACAAATTAACACGGGGGTGGTGTATGCTGGGGGAAGGGAAAAAAAATGTGTTTCAACATATGCTAATGAAAACAGCATCATATCCCCGTGCAAACAGCCCCTGGCTACTGACTCCAAATGAAAAAGGCTAGCAGCAATCTCCTACTTCAAAAATAGGGACAATGTTCAGTTAGCCAGGCCCATCCTAAATGAGTCAAATCTCGGAGTTCTCTCTTTGTGGATGGGTGTRGAGAAGAGGAAAAAGGCAGCTGAACAGATTTGACTCTATTTCTACTCTCCTACAGAGACCAGGCAGTGATGAGAGAGGACACAAGGATTAGTATTCAAAGAATGCAAGGTCTTTGGTSCTGCAAGTTTAGCCTCAAGGCTTAATTGCTCCTGTCTGAACAGCTAGGTGTTTAAACAGTGAACTGGACTGCCAGACTAGGAATATACTACAGGTTTTATGAGCAACAAATTGTAAAGCAAGCAGGGCTCCTCTTCCTCCACACACCTTCAGGGTAGATGGGGTGCAACAAATAAATKAACCAAAACTTAAGATTCAGCCTGYTGCAGGCAGCACAAAGCAGATGACAATGCAGGATCAAAAAGCAGATACAAAATCCTCCAGATGCAGACAGATGTAACTTTTACATCAATTCCATAGCACTACACATGATAGTAATACTGAAGCAACATAACCAACTAGGCTGGCAATATAGGAAATGTAAGTAAAACCCAACAAGTATGACTATGTAATCCTCATCTGTAGGACCCAATTTGTATTGCTCCCCTTCAAAACACCTACCCTGATGTAGAGCTAGAAAATCAGGTCTATTACAAACATACATGTGGAGACCATGCAATGAAAAAAAAAAGGTAAAAGAGTTTGATATAGCTGGAAATGCTCATGCARGTTTTTAAAAGGAACAAACTGATCAGAAGCCAAATCAGAGGATGAAATTAATAAAAGATTAACATAACATGGGTTCTACAAATACATCATCATATTTTGAAGATTTCATTTTGACTATTATGAATCAAAACACAATAAAACAGCGTAAYTATCTCACGTGGTTAAAATTCCTGGTTAAAATTTGAGGGTGGCGTAAGACACAAAACAGACTGGGGAACTATTATCCTAAAATCATCATAGGACTAGACTAAAACGTTTACCACACAGAGYTGAAAGATAATAAAATCAATCTTATCAGTACATGGTTGCCCAAACTAGTAACTTATTGTTTACACAGACATAGAAGGTTTCTATTCCAAAGAACTGGTAGCACCACCATTTTCTTTATATTGTAATTCACAGGCTCTTGTTTTGGTGCACACAAAAAAACCCTGTAGCACAGTGAGTCAGACTACCTGTGGAGAGAAAATAATTAACGTACTAACAAAACTTCCTTCTCTAGGAGATGGTAAAGAGATTTCCCTTGAGAGGGAGGAAGTCGATTAACATTTGAAAAGACTGTACCAACAGAAAGCCTGTTTACCTACACCTCAGCAGGAAGGGGATGCTCTTTGAAAAGGCAAAAGGTGCTAAAAATACGCAGACTGAAAATAGCTGTTGAAACGGAATGATATCCTTTGAAAGGTTCAGAACATATATCGACTGGTTAAATTAAAATACTTTGGTGGACAGATGGGAGGAAAGGTATTGATGCGGCATCATCTCTAGTACAGAGGCTACATAATTTCAACATGCAACAGTAACACAAGTTCACAACACATCAAAGCACTGGTATTCTGTAATTCCACAGAATTGCCCCAGCAATTCATCCCCAGCCACTACACACTTCTCAGGAATCTTAGCCCAGGTGAACACATAAATAGAAGCACAAACTCTAMCCTCAAGATTAGAACTGCAGCCTTGGAAGTCTGATATCATAAAACTGAGCATTGTGTTTCACTCTTTCCCTTCATCTCGCTACACAAATCAGTCCAATCTGTTATTTGTCCTCTGAACCCCACCCAATTTTTATCTTTAGGTCACTGAGGCTGCATCCCTTCCTGCAATCTGAAAACTGAGCTGCAAGTGAGGACATGACATTCGTCCTCAGAGCCACAAAGAACACTCAGCCAGATGAGGGTTAGAGAGAGTTATGAAGTCTGGACAGCCTGTCTTGAAATATTAAACATCTGAAGAATTCAGATGCATCTCAGACCTACTGCAGAGTGGGGACAAACTCAGTTGTATGACAGATTTCCCATYATTACCTTTTCCACACAGAAAATCACACATTACTGATTTGAATTCCTCATTTTAGAGCACGCACATCTTGTTCTACACTTTGAGGAACATACACACTGTCCAATTAAAACACTCTTCTTCAAAGCCTCACAGAAGAACTACTACAGAGTCCTACTAGGCCTCACTACTAACATAAAACAGCCAGACATGTTTTACTCTCAGTAATTTAGCAGAATAAGCTATCTAGGATTACCACCTCCTACTTAATTTATAAAGGTGCAAAAATCATTCATACTATTTAGAAACCCAAATAAACAACATAAAAAACCAGCCATAGCCCCAYCAAGCAGCTGAGCTGCACCCACATACCTGTTGCTTCTTCATCAAAGCAAGCAAAAGCATTCCTGATTACATCCTCTGGGTCGGTGCCATTTAACTTTTCACCAAACATTGTGAGGAACATCGTGAAGTTGATGGGGCCCGGAGCCTCGTTCATCATGGCATCCAGATATTCATCTGTTGGATTCTTTCCTACAAATAAAGGGATTCATACTTCGTTTAGCTTTCAAACTGAAAAAAACAATATGCCAGTAGTGCTAATACAAACTGAGACACCTCTCATATCCCAAACTCTGTATTTTGATTTTTACAGCACAAATATGCTTGGCAAGCATCAACAGCAAAGGGACATTACCAAGGGAGGCGAGCATGTCGTGCAAGTCCTCTTTGTCAATGAAGCCATCCCTGTTCTGGTCGATCATGTTGAAGGCCTCCTTGAATTCCTGGATCTGCGACTGATCAAACATCGCAAATACATTGGAAGTGGCGCGCTGAGGGCGCTTCTTGGTGGTCTTGGTCTTTGCCTTTTTGCTCGACATGTTGATTTTTGGACGCTAGGAAGAGAAGCAAATACAGTAAATGCAGTAAGGTCAGAGTTAGGACTTAAAAAAGGGAAAAGTTTAATGGTTTAATGGTTTAATGGTTTAATGGTTTAATGGTAAAGTGCGCCTCCAACGCACTTTCATTTCCCCTCATCAGAACGTATTTCCCCAGTATTTTCAAAAAGGGAAAGAGAGAAGCAGAAAATATGGATAAATTAAAGACAGACTCACAAACCAAAAAAAACCCAGTCATTATTACAACATGTAAATTAACTTAAATTTTAGTCTTGAAAGAACCCTCACCCCAGCGGYGGCTGCGGGGACCCGGCACAGCACAGACGCGGAAGGGAGGAAGCGGCCCCGGCGCCGGCGGATGCTCCAGCGCTTCCTGGAGAAACCATCGTCCTCTCGCACCGYGGGTGGGAATGAAAGCCGGCAGAGKCRGCGGGAGGGCGGCCAGACGGCAGSCAGGGGTTTTCCTTACGGATYGCAGCYTTGTCTGGCTCTCCTGGGCGKCGGCCSGCCCGGCACGGCCCCGGGATCGCTTCCAGGCGCCCCCCGCCTCGGCTGCCTTGGCGCATCCCGGGGGAAGTCGCCGCCGCCGGCGCTCGGTGCCGGGCGCCGCCTGCAGGGGAGCGATGGAGAAAACCTGTGCAAACGGAGCTCAGGAGGGCTTCTGAGGGAGGGTGAGCTACTGCTGCCCGTGGGGCTCTTCTTTTGTGTCCATAAAGCTCTTCACGCTGAAGGTGGAGCTTCGTTCCGTGCGCCGGTGCCCGCGGCGTCTCCTGGTTCACATGGTGATGCCACAGCGGGCAGGGGAACCAAGCCTCCTCATCCTGCGGGAATTAACTGGTTAATCCTGCCCGGATTAACAGRGTTGAGGTGTTATCCTTACCTCCAGTCTTCCTCGTGTTTCGCTTGAGGGATCAGAAGAATTCCGGACTGCATCTTAAAGTCTTCTAAGTGAGTGCTCCTGCAAGAGTAAGGACATAGTGCCTCTCGCAGCGGTAGATTATAAGGCCCCGTGGAAAAGTTATTTTTGCATATATTTTCTTTGTGGAAAACGATGACACTTATTTTTTCATTTGTCATTTGATATAGGATCTCAAATAAATTGAGGTGCAAGCTGTTTTTAGCGTAGGGGGATGGGGTCTGAAGCATTCAGAAGCATTTTTTGTTTTAGCCCACTTGTACATTTTTGAAATTTTGGGAATGCTTATTCCCATGTTGCTTGTTGAAATCCCACATAAATAGCTTGGGCTTCAAGAAGGCTGTTGTTTAGTACACCAAAAAATCCTGAAATAGTCAGATGGGAAAGCTATGCTGCCAGATCATTATTCTCTGAACTCCCCTCCTACCTGCTGTCAGCTTTGTTGGTTTACAGGCTGTGTCTTGGAAAACAAGAATTCTTAAGGAGCAAAGGCATTGGCCAGGCATTAGAGGAAGTCACCCAAGGATGGAAGTCACCATCCCTGGAGGTGTTCAAGAAGTGTCTGGATGTGGCTCATGCGGGTTATGGTGGTGCTGGGTTGATGGTCAGACTGGATGGTCTTCAAGGTCTCTTCCAACCTTGATCATTCTCTGGAAGGAAAAAATAGACAKACAGGCTTTTGCTGAAAGCATAAATTATGTTTATAAATGTAAATGAATTACATTTAGCCACTGGGYCTGAAATGAACACGTAATCTAATATGTAACCTAGAAGTTGCAGTCTCAAATTTGAAGGGAGATGTTTTAATTACCAAGAGGCCCAACTTCCTTTCCCTGCTCTCCACTCAAATCAGAAGTTATTTCGTACCCAAACTGACCTAATTAGATTACAATACATCCCCAATGAATTCCAATATCACTCTTCAAAAATTTGCCTCAAAGTGCAATAGAAACTAAGATTAAACTTTGCTGGATTGAAAGCCTATTCATGGAAAAAGTTTTGGGTAAAAAATTCTCTGCTTACTAGACATGGCACATAGTTTCAAGATAATTGGAGGCAAAGTAAGWGTGGKCAGAAAAGCWGCAGAAATATCAAGATATTAAGAGWGTTAATAAAATGYTTAATGATAATGTTGAACAACTGAATTGTGTGTTGAAATTTAATTATGAAAAGTCATTTGATCTCTKAATTTAAACTTCTTTCATCAGTTACTTTAAATTGAACCACTACTGCAAACGTGCTGCTCTGTCTTGTATTGTTTTTCATGCTATTTAAAGGGTGTTACAGGGTGATACCTGCCACGGTGTGTGTTGTTCTCAGTGTTTAACTTCTGAAGATGAATGAAGATAGGCACACCAATATTACTTGCCCAGTATGAGATCAGTTCTTAATGACAAAATTGCGTGTCTGTGTKTGTCTCTCTCTTAAAGCTTTCATCTCCAGTTTGTTCCATCATGGTGGAATGAGAAACAAGCAGACCATTTTCTGAGCGATGTAAATCTAAGTAGGGCTTTTAGAAATGGTTCTATTTTACTTGATTACTGCACTCATYATAGCAATAAAGAAATTTAAAGGGGAAAAAAGTTTTGTTTTGCCTTTTATAATAAATATTGGGAGGATTTTTTAAAACTCATTGACATAAATTTTTAAGCGAAAAGGGAAAAAGAGTGAGGGACTTTTTTGTGAGTGTGGTGCTTCCTGAGAGCTGTGCATCAAACATACAGGATAGAAATGTTCCTTTTTGAAAAGATGGTTGAAAAAAAATGGTGAGCTCTTAACTCCTTAATTTTTCTTCTTTCTACTTCTTTCATTAATTACTCCCTTCTTCTTTCTCATTTATATCAGTCTTGTTTAAGAAAAAACCTTTTTAAGCAAAATGTATGAATTGTTCCTATCCTTTTGGACTAAAATACTCAAATACTTTGGTGCTATTGAAATTTGCTTGTTTTCTTTGAATTGCCAAAAAAMCCCTCAAAATTATCTGTTTCATACTTAAGTTTTAAGGCTGCTACCGGCAGTTTGAAATTTACAGTAAACCTTTTCCATCCTTTAATTTAATTCTCTCCATTAACAGTTGGACTGGATGATCTTAGAGGTATTTTCCAACTTTAACTATTCTATGATTCTATTTCCCCATCTCTGCTGAGTTACAATGACAGTGCAAATATTTGTGGTTAACTTGGTTGCTTCATGGAGCAGAACCAGTCTGTGTCATGTGATGTTTCTTTATGTATCTAATTAATGTTACAGGAATTAGAAAAAAATCTGGCTTACTTTAAAGGTCTGCCTAGACCAGTGCACCACAGCTGCAAAGAGATGTGGATTCTGGATGTGGAAGGCAGGGAGCAAAGTCTTGGCAAAAAAGTCTTGAGACTGGCAGTGGGGAAGCCCAGCAGCTGCTTTCTCCATTTCTAGGCTGGAGCGCCACCAGGATGTGTCTACTGGTTTCTTGGGTACCTTCAAGAACTAATAGATATTGTGAGGTCTTCCCTGCCAGGTCACTGGGGAGTTTTATTATTTTGGATTTTTTTTCCCAAAACTTGGGATCATACCTTTTTTTTTTTAAATAAAGAAAAATAATCTCTTTCTCTCTACTTCCTGTTCTTTCTGGAGGAAAAGCATACTGGGTGCTTTTAGCGTGTTCTTAAGTAGAAAGCAGCAGCAATGGCTATATGCAGATATTTAGGGAAGAATAAAAACCAGGGTAACCTATGATACCTTCCCAGAATGCTCTCCCAATATCTACTATTGTTAGTTCATGGAGGGATAAGCTACCCTGAGCCAGATATGGTGTTTAGTAACAGAAAACAATGAGCTTCTTTCCTGAACTTGCCTAATATGTAATCCTTGACTTGATGTAAATTTAGCATTCATGATGTCCTTTGCTGGTGTGTTCATAACCCTTTGCGTGGTTGCTATTTGTTACATGAAAAACTGCATCTTACTAATCTTGAACGTACCTATTCTGAAGTTTGCTCTGTGCTCTAGACTTTGTATTGGAAGAAATAGTAAGGCTGAATTGTGTGTCCACCTCTTTTATGTTACCTTTTCTTCTAGAAAGCTCTTGTGTGTTCCATCAGCTCTAGCAGAGAGTCCTACTTTGGTAATTTTTCTTATAAAGAAGCCATTCCATACCCTTGGTCATCATAGAAGTAAGACTGAGGATGTGCATAAGAAACAAAAGGGTCTAGAAAGTGAGACTAGAAGAAAAAGCAGATGTGTGATTTCCAGATTAAGAACTAAAATTGTGTGAAAGTTGAGTGGAAGGTTTTGCAGTTAGGAGATTTTCTTMATTGCATGTTTTCACCATTCAACAAAAGTAGCAAAGGTTAATTACAGACAGTAAGTATTGACAGCAAGGTCAAAATTAAATATATCCATCTAAGTTCTAGGACTAAACTACCATTTAATAAAAGCATTTTRTCTGTCAGTAATTTTGACCTTGACAGCAAGGTCAAAATTAAATATATCCATCTAAGTTCTCGGTCTAAACTACCATTTAACAAAAGCATTTTGTCTGTCAGTTACTTCACCTAGAATTTGGGTTCATCCCTGATTCCAGCTGGCATCTGTTGCCTCTGTCAAGCTATACCAAGTGCAGTGTAGTATCAGAGTGACAGTCACTCCTTTTGAGATCCTGAGAGTGTCCCASAGTCTTCTGGAATTTCTCCAAAAATAACTCCAGCACTGTGATCCAAAGCAAGAACACTTGAGAAGTCATGAGTGAAAGAAGTGATTCTGAACAGTGTCAAAGATATTTATTTAAAATTGCATCTCAATCACTGCATGAATGGGCACTGACATGTTTGACAGAGTATTGAGGAACTTTACTCAGCAGACACAGCACTCCTTGCATTCCCAGGTCCTAAGTCCTTTATACCTAAAGAACAAAAATTTTAAAACACAAATAAACATTGAAAAGTACATCTCTGGCTGTTGGGCTGTTGCTTTCTGCTGGCTTTTTGTACCCTGCTCTCTATGATCATAATCACTGTACTGCCACTTGTGCTGTATGTCCATCCCTTGGTTTTTATCCTAGCTGGTAAGTTGCAACAATTCTAGCCAAGTCTATGTGGGGGTTTCAGCTCTTTTTGCACTAGTTTTAATCATGAGTATTGCCAGACACTGTGATTCCATGAAGTGGAGAATTGAAATGCAAAAATAGGTGTTGATGGGTATTCTTAGCAAGAAGGGCTGAAAGCCTCCAGTCTTTCAAACACATGTAATTAATTCTGCTAAACCTAAGGATGTACATATGTGCCCTCTCCTTGTGTGTTAGAGCTTGTATCTMTCTGACAATATGTATGTACTAATATGGAAGAAAATGAAATGTGCTCAATGCTTGGCTGAAGGCCTAAAACAGTGTTTTAAAACGTRCCCAGAAAACAAGAAGCAGCATATTTAGTCAGGTGTTTGACATGGAAAGCTAGCTGTTACCAGTTTTCTTATCAGCTGATGCCTGTGCAAGTTTGGTTGGCTGGTGGAGCAATTTCAAAATCAACATACTTCTTGTGGGGTGGGAACATGTTGCCACTCTTAAACCTTGTGCATTAGAGGTGGTTAACTCACAGTTAAGGAAGAACTCAAAAGAGGGAAAACCCCYAGTGTCTGTTAGATACAAGGCTAAGTCAAGGTTCAAGTAACTCATGTCTGGTGCCAGCTCAATTTTAGCACATACTAAGACAGGGCTTGCAGACCTCAATTTACACCCACTCGCTTGAATGTGCTTGGCAGAGGCTGGAAATTATTGTGAAATGCTATCTTTTAACTCCCAAGGTCTAGTCATAATTAAAAARCAAACCAAAGCCTAGTTCAATATTTAGCGATGTTGTACTTGCTGATACCCTAATATAGTCAAAGTGAGGATTAAGGATTAAATAAACCTTGCAAAAGTAAACAATTTACACACTAAAATGATTGCTGCTGCTGCTACCATCTGCTCCTTTAGGCGCCCATATTAAAGTCGGTCTTGACCTGCCTAATCCTGTAGTATTTGGAACTGATTTTTAAGCTTTATCAAAGTGCAAGGCTGCTTTACTAAGGGACTGAATCACAGCTRCATGGCAGAGTCTGCATGCAGCAAGCAGTTGGGATTTTCTGGGAGGCCAGTTTGATTTCCTGCTCTCCTGTTAATTGCATGCTGCTGAGAAATACGTGAACATATTCCCTCAGATTTATTTCATTGATACAAACTGCCTGTCCCCTTAAGTCCTGTGATGCAGGGTCTGTGATAAACAGTCTCTAGGGAGTATCACACTTTTGGTCTAAAAACATTCCTTTGTAGTGTGAGCTGCAGAAAAAAGTAGGAAAAGCAGCCATGTGCTGCCACCTGATTTTTTTTCCTTCTTTTTTTTAAGGAAAAAAAAAAAGAAAAAAGAAAAAAAAAAGCTGTGCAGAGAGTTTTTTTTTTTCCCCAATATTACTTTTTCATATTTCATKATAATTTTAAACTGCATTTTGAGAGGCATTTACTGAGTTTTTTGCCTCTATATTGTTCCTAGTTTCTGCAATACTTTGAGTTACTGTAATCCTAAATCATTTTTCTAAAGAAAGAAGTTAACTRAAAATGACAGTAGGATTTGAAAAATTAAGTAAGAAGCTAAAATAGGAGCMTGGGTACATAAGCAATACCAGTGGAGGATTAACTGCTGGTATCTAAAATGTTCCTGACTATACTTTGATTGTTACTCACCCCTTATTTGGACTTACATTGTCTGAATTCCTTTGGTATGGCTATTTGTTGTTGTTTGAAACTCCCCAGGAACATCCCAAATAATAGGTTAGTAACAGTCCAGACAAAAAAAGGCTACAAGAAACATATGATAATGACAAGATTTCAGGTATTTTCCAGCTTTTGGATCAAATGCAGGTGTCAGGACACAAAGGCATGCTGTTACTGATGCCCTATGCCAGGATGGGGCCGCTGTGCTGCATTCATTTCTGCAGATAGGACAGTGATCCTAGAAACAGGCCATCTAAAGATAGTTCTTAGGTCAGCGTGAAACAGATCCTTGTCCTGAAATGTAGGGACACCACCTCTGTGACATCCCTTGGTTGCTGAGCAAGGATAACAGGCTGCCTTCATGTTGTGAAATGCTTCTGTCATCTGATCATTGTGGCATAAAGATGGGTCTATGTGCTTAAATACAGCATAAAGAGCAGAAACAAGTGTAAAATGTTGTGTGTTACCTTTATCTGCAGCAACAGAGTGGGGGAGGAAAGGCAGCAGGCAAACATCCCCTGGCAGCACTCAACACAAACATAGTCCTTGTTGGAGCTTTCTCGTGCAGCCTCGATAGTGCTTTGGCTTCGTTTCGACCTCTGTGTTCATAGCCTTAGAACAGGGTAAGTGGGTCATGTAGAATAAATCACTGCTTTTCAGCAGTGCTTCGCAGGGCATTATAGATCACTGTAGATGTAAGACTATTAAATGTGTGCATGAGCCTATGAAAATAGTTCTTCATCATAAGCTTAATCTGGTGTGGAGACTGGAGACTGTTATATATGATCCCCAAGGGAGTAAAGATTAGTTCTGAGATTTTGGCTGCAAAATGCTAAGGCTAAGTCATCAGAATTTTAAGCTGTTTCAGTGACCAAAGTTATTTTTATTTTTGGAAGTGAATTATTGATGACACATCCCTCCAGCCCTCGGCACGCAACCTCAGCTGTCACATTCCTCCCTGCCTCGCTGCAAAAYGCATCTGATGCTCTTATATGGTCTCTTGGCTGGGGCTGTTGGACWTGCAGGCTCTCAGTGGTTAAGGGGTTTGTGCCCACTTGCAGGCTAACTGGTCTCCTACAATAAAACAATCCAGGGAAACCAGAACTTGGAAGGTTGTCATTAYACTCAAACATCCTTGGTATTCTCTCTCAGTAATGTATCTCTTCCTGAGATAGGTATCTTTACATCAGTACAGCTTCATCTCAGCCTCTACTCAGAAGGAGCATCCAAGAAGGACAAGGAACAAAACAGCTACACCCCACATTTCACTGGCTGTCCAGAAAGTGACAGCAGCAGGACAGAGTATTTTTGAAATGGACWATTTCCTCTCAAGGAGGATAYRAGGTTCTCTTCAATGTAACTCATATTTAATATGATTTTAAAATCACTACTTTCAGAAAGAAAAATCCAGCTGGCACACCTGCCAATTACTCAGCGTAATATTTACAGAGAAAACACGATCAGGAAAATAAGGGGTTGGGGATCCAGTGTTAGGAACAAAAGTAAACTGATCTCTGAATCTTACACCATTTATACATTCAAAGGGAAAAACTAATCGATAGTCTTACATCTGTCCTTCGTGCAGGCTGCTTCCATGTGTGCACACAGTATTGAATTGCACAGAGGTGACAAGATCAAGCTAAAGTGACAGCATAACTTGTTCTCCAGCCTAATGTTACATAGCAACGTTTCAACAAGACAGTGTTTTCTAAAACTCCACTCTCTCTTATCTTTGTCACATGGGCACTGCTGCTGAAGACCTCCATRCATATTTGTAAACTACTTCCTACAACCATGCAGGTGTTGCATGGAGAAATACCTCAGTAGCCGTAACTGGAGAGCACCAAGATAGTTAAAACCCAAACTTTCAAGGAAAAGAGCAACTGTGGCAACCTGAAGTAGTGCAGAACATAGTGGGGGTAGGAGAAAAACTAAGGCTAAGTTTGTCAGAAGATAAAACACAAAATCGGGAAAAGAATGGTTGAAAAWTCAATTTTAATCAAGCCTGTAAGTGGAAAAAACCACCCTGGAATAAAAAATTAAAAAATAGTCCAAGTATGCCAACTGAGTATACTGTGTAAAGTTATTTACAAATCCAAAGCCAGAATATCCTCCAGAACTGCCATATGGGAACACAAGCAAGATTAAGTAACCTTAAGCCTTCATGCTACTGCACATGAAATGAGACAAACCCACCTTACAGGATAAGCATCAGAGCCTTTACAGCCCTTCAGCACTGAATTCCCATTCCTTGGGGTCTTAAGTCATGTGATATAGCTGAGGACATGCTTTCTAGGTCAGACGTCATTATTTTAGTTGATAAATACATAGGCAAAATAAATTCTTCCTTCTGCTTTTAACTTGCAGTAGCCAARAGAATGAGGCACACAGAAGAGCACTGCCAAACCAAGAACTACAAAAACAATCTTCTTTTCTTTGTATTTGAGGCAACATCAGCACAACCAGTTCTGAATGACTGACTGTGCTTGGTTCAAAGCCATCTTATCAATATAACTGAGGACTATGTATGATATTTTAAAAAGTGAGACCTACTTCAGCACCTATAGGGTTTTACCAAGTGAATTCTTAGAACGATTTGGCTCACATTCTCACATACAAGTGAATTAGATGTAGAACAATAAAGCTTTCTATAAATTTTCCRGCCATGTATTGCTGTTAATTAGTACCAGCAGATTCCCTGGCACAAGCTTCCTTCAGCAGAAGGGAGAAAATATGCCTAATTCCCACTCACTGTCAGCATAAAGACTTAGCAAACAGGAATGCACACTTTGACATGAAAGTACTGCTAGAAAACCCATCAGTATTRAAAGGAAGCAAAAGCTGGGCATGGCATCTGCTTAAGAATCACATGTTCTCTGCTGGCCATGGAAATTGGAACAGTCTTCCCAAACTATTTCTTTCCTTAACTACTTACACAGTAGTCAGATCCCACTTCAAAAACCTGAAGGATTTCTGCAGCTACATTTTTTAAGARGCCAGCAGATGCTGCTACGAGCATTTCAGAACCCTGTGACACTGAACAAAACACTGTAAAAATGAGTTTTCTAGCTTGACTTGCAACTGCAAGAAAAATACACTGAAAACACCTGCATTTGTAAATGCATAATAGAAATGTGATTCTTCACAAAAAGATTTTGAGGTATTTTATCTATATTGCAATCTTTATTTCAAAATGGCATTTATTACAAAAATGTAAAAATCCAGCTAAACCAGAAACATTGAGATTATTTTCCTGGACAACCAACTCCAGGGAATGTTTGTCCCATAGCTTTTCCCTCACAATATTTTCCCCGTTTCCAGTCTGATTACAGGTGCAAATGTGCCTAAATGGCCTGGAATAGATAAATATATTGAAAAAGAAAAAAGCTYTGAAGCTAAATGCATGCAACAAGTTCTATCAGGAAGAAATGGTTAAAAATAAAYGTAAGTGTAGAGATAATCTGCAGGTATCCAGGGACTTGCTCAGTCATCCTTGTCCTTTGCTCCATGTTTCAGGATGCGTGTGAATTCAATGTAGTTGAAATTGCCCTTTTTGTCGATGGGGGCCTCTCTGTACAGCTCATCCACCTCTTCATCYGTGAACCTGTCCCCCATGGTGGTCAGCAGCTCCCGCAGGTAGTCTTCTTGGATGAACCCTGGAGCACAGTAGGAAGACAAAAGAGGAGTTTCTACATTTATCTGCTAATACATTGGTGAGAATTCCCTTCTTTGAGTTCTTCCCCTCAATTAAAGATATCTACAGTCTTTGCCAAATGGAAACAATGCTATTAAAGCCTATTACTAAAATTGCCRAATAATTACAAGGATTCAATCAAATCAGGCATCTTAGTTTGAAAATCTCACGACTTTAAGTAAAGACCATTGTATGATTTGCCTGTAGTGTTCCAAAGGATATAAAAATTTGTCCGTATTCACACTGGACATCCTTCCCAACAAAAAGGCTACACTCACAGTAGTATCAAGACCCTTCTAACAACTCTGTATTTCAAAGACCACAAAGGGAATCAGTTTGCCTTGAGCATTCCTAATAAAAACCACAAAGAAAGCCCTTAACTACTAATATTCAGTAAGTGCATGGAAYACAGGAAAATTTACAGCATTTCAAATTGATCTTAACTCAATRGAAAAACTCAGATTTACTACACTGGTTGCAAAGAATAAATTTTTGACATCATTGTTTATTGAACAAACAGGCTTGTATAACTTGTGATTGCTTCCATCAGCACTCTTGTGAGTCACACAAGAATTTTCTTGTATTCATTTTCTTCTTTTAGTGCAGCTTAACTGAGGGAAAGGGGATACAAGTTGCTGACAGAAAAACAGTTCTTCATAACAGCTTTGAAAACAATCATTCCCTTTATAAAAATGCCCCCAAAGGTGAATTTTAAGTTAGGAATAAATTAAGACCCTGGTTCCCAATCAGAATCTTTTATACTTTCTCCTGTCTTGAACAACAGAACTGAACTGCCAAAAATTTGAAATTTTTACAGAGATTGAAAAGGTCAATTTAGAAGATAAGGATACAGGTATGATTTTGAGTCTTCAGAAATTAAAATTTTCAGAGCTAAAAAATTCATCACCACTTCTATGAACACAAGTATTTATTGTTACAAAAGTAAGCAGAAGTAYTACATGTACACTGTTTCACCCACATACCTGTTGCTTCTTCATCAAAGCAAGCAAAAGCATTCCTGATTACATCCTCTGGGTCAGTGCCATTCAACTTTTCACCAAACATTGTGAGGAACATCGTGAAGTTGATGGGGCCCGGAGCCTCGTTCATCATGGCATCCAGGTATTCATCYGTTGGATTCTTTCCTACAAATAAAGGGATTCATACTTTGTTTAGCTTTCAAACTCCAAAAACAATGTCAGTAGTGCTAATACAAACTGAGACACCTCTCATATCCCAAAATCAGTATTTTGATTTTTACAGCACAAATATGCTTGGCAAGCATCAACAGCAAAGGGACATTACCAAGGGAGGCGAGCATGTCGTGCAAGTCCTCTTTGTCAATGAAGCCATCCCTGTTCTGGTCGATCATGTTGAAGGCCTCCTTGAATTCCTGGATCTGCGACTGATCAAACATCGCAAATACATTGGAAGTGGCGCGCTGAGGGCGCTTCTTGGTGGTCTTGGTCTTTGCCCTTTTGCTCGACATGGTGGCTGTTGGTTCTAAGGAGACAGAAACATATCCAAGATTTAGTCTTATTAAATCATATCACAAGTCCTTGGGGGAAGGATGGATAAAGGGACTTCAAAATTTCACGTTATCAGCACAATACTCCAAAGTACACATTTATTTCAGTATCTCCTGCTACATTTTCTTTCATTCAGACTTATCTTGCTATTAAAGAATAATGCGTTTGAGGATTTAGGAAGCGGCACTGTAGGCCAATAGCAGGCTACAGATAAAGCCCCAAATCAAATCATAGCTCTTGAAATGAAACTTACACAGTGCTTGTCTTGCTGCTTCAATACTCCTCCTGTATMTTCCACAAATTAAAATGACTACATAGTCAGGAGTTTGGAGGCACTATTGACCTACCACACAGAAGRGTATGTGCTGCTAAACTAGCACAGTGATTAATAGATCAGACTGTATGCTAAACTATTTTGTTAGAATAGCTGTCGTTGAGAGAGAGGGAGAGAAAACACCAACTTGGTTCAAAAGCTCTACGCTGCTATTCCGTTACACAGTGGAACTATTACACAACACATGCAAATGCCAGCATACTCATTTTTAAATGAATTAATGACAAAATAGTTACAAAAATGTCAAAACTGTTTCTTTTACACTACCATAGAAACATTTATGTATTTTTATACATTTTCACGTATTACAAGTATAGAAGTATCATTGTTTCTCTTGAAGCTGTCAAATGAAATAATAAACATGGTAGATTTTATATTACAACAGTAATACACTCGGGGTAGAAGTGAGGCTTGTAAATTAACTGCATCTATTTAGCTGGGAAGATACATGTATCCATGTATACATGTCTTTAGTATTCCGACTAAATGCATGACAGTACAAACTTRAAAAGCTGAGTCATTCACTGAAGGCAAACACAAAGATCTCAACATGGATTAGAAGTTAGACCCTTTCTAATGTTGTTTCTAAGTCTCATAACCTCTACTTGCATTAGCTGAAACTAAAGTGTAATCCATACTGCTATAATCCTTTATTATGATCAAAGTGTTATGCAAATCAGATCATTTCCATTCTTGATTCTGAATTTTACAGAAAGCACATGTAGCAAGCACTTCCTGAAAGAAAGAAATTTAAGCTTCACCTGTAACAAGAGTATCAACATTCTGAAATTTACATTAAATATTAATTTTATAACTTAGAAACAAATTATCTGGTCAGAAATGCAATACTAATCCAAGTCATAGCACATTTGTTACTGTTTCTCAGATAGTTTTCTCAAAGATAGGGTATGTTTTGTTAGACTCCTGAAAAGTAAGACTGAAGTCACTAACTCTGATTCATCCTTACAAAATAAAGGGAGTAAAATTAAGCAAAGTAACTCCCTTACATAATCAACCCAATATGAAGGCAAAAAAAAAGCAGTTATTTCTTGCTTTTTAACTAAAAGGAAAGGTATTTTACCTTGCTTTGTATTAGATACCTGACAGGGTGCACCAAGCATCTGCATCATAAAAGGAAATTCCATGGTTGCGTCCCTTCTTAGTCTATCCACAAGGACAGCTACTGATTTCCCCTGCTAATTCCACACTTTTAAACCCTACGTGGATCCACAACGCTCTTCTGACGTACAAAACAAACCACTATGTTGCAAACTAAAAATAGTCWGTGAAATGCAACTGCACATCGCTCAACAACGCAGACGTTCTCTTCATTGGACTCACTAACCACGAGCTACCCGAGATGTCTGGCCTCCACAACACTGCAACAAATAAATGTGAACTCTTGACATTGAGATATTTATGTAGATAGCTGACAACAAAGGTAGTTTGTTTTCAATCTGCAGCCAAGGGTTGTGCATAACTTCAGTGGTTTTTTTACCTCTGTAAAAACCCTCAGGCAAGCTCCTGTTTAATTCTGAAGTATTGATTAAAAGTTCCACTACTCAAAATAGAGCTGAATAGTATCTTTTAGTAACTCTTCTCTGAAATAATGCAGTTTTCAGGATATGGCACATCCAAAGTAAACAAAAAAATTTACTTTACACGTGATGCAATGGCAGTGCTCCCAGCAAGCCACTACCTGCAATTCTCTCACCAACAACTCAGTCCTAAGCAAGAGGAGGTAACAAAAGCAGACTGCCAACACATTCTTATTAACTCTATTCAGAAGATTGACATATCAGAGCATATTTTACTAGAAAAGATGAAAAAATTGCCAATACTTGCATCACTGTTTTCTGAGTTTCCCTGAACCAGGCTTGGAAACTTTTCCAGTCCAAAAGAGCTGTCAGCCTAGCTACATAGAAACATTAGATCTCACAGGACTGCAGTGCCTTTCAGCACAGGTTTGGTGCAGCTATGCCTGAAACACTGCAGTCAGCTTTGAGAGCCTCTGTTAGAAAAGGGGTGGTATATTTTGGAACATGTTCAGAAAACCAAAGTCATCAATCCAGTTGGCCAAAGACATCAATTTATAATTTAAAAGTTCCAAAAGTGTTTACRCTTTTTGTTATATCTGTGTATAACAGTGAATGATGTAATGAGCCAGAGCAAAGCTCACCTGAGTCAAGCACTAGACTCTGTCATTTTAGAAGAAGTAGAATTTAACCTGACAAATTTACCTGGTCATTAAACAAACAAACCAAAACAGAAAAAAAAAACCAACTTATCATCAACCCCCCACAACCAACCAACCAACCTAGACTCAACAAAACGACTCCCACCTAAGCCAATGCTTTTATAATTGAAATAGGGTTAATATAGGCTGCAAATAAAATTTCAGTAGATAAAATGTKGGAATACTTCACATTGGACAGCACAAGTCATGACATGCAGTTTTGGTCCCTGTGGTTTATACTATGCTGCACTGAATGGTCTGGGCCTTGTTTTGGAAGTCCAAGAAACTTCCAATGTAAGACCTCACTTGTGAGACACACTATAAGGTATTTCTGAAAATATAACCTTTGTTTAGGAGGATTTTCACATATTCGGAAAATAATAAATAGGTAGCAGCAGCACTGTGCTTCTTTTTGCTGCCTGTATTGTAATTTACTCAGTCAAGCAATAGCAGTGGATGCCAAACCACAGAAGCACAGGAAGTCATCTTGTGGTGCCTTCCTCTGGGAAAGTGATAAACACTTGGAGAAATAAAACCCCAAGCAACTAAAAATTCTGAGCCAAGTCATAAGCTGTGCTCTTATGTTTCAACATTGTGAACAATCTAATAATTGCAGTACCTATCACTCAAAATTAAAAAAAAAAACCCAAACCATCACACAATAAATCCCCACAACCCATAGCCCAGAAAGTCTCTACATGAACATCAAATTCAAAAGTCAATCTCAAAGCTAAATCCCAGGTTTTGTCCAAGTAATCAATAACAGCATCACATACAGTCACACATCCATCACAGTCTGGGTGGCAACAGGAAGAGRTAAGAGCAATGTGCTTTCCAACAGATCTGTGTCAAGGCTCAATAAAGGGCAGATTACACTATAAAAGCAAAGGGGCAAAAACCAAACCCTACGCTGTCCCACCCAGTCTTAAAAARCACCTGTCTGTCTGCAAGAGAAACGGAAGCTCAGTGGTGACCCTTATTGCTCTCTACAACCATCTGAAAAGGATGGTGTAGCCAGGTGGGGATCGGCCTCTTCTCAYAGGCAAAAAGAGACAGGATGAGAAAACAGTCYTAAACTGYGCCAGGTTTAGGTTGGACCTTAGGAAGAATTTTTTTCACAGAAAGGGGGACATTACACTGGAATGGGCTGCCCAAGGAAGTGGTGTAGTCACGGTCCCTGGAGATGTTTTAAGTGGAGACCGGACGTGGCACTCAGTGCTCTGGTCTAATTCACATGGTGGTCGCTCACAGGTTGAGCCCAACAATCTCAGGTCTTTTCTAACAAATTCATTCTGTGATTCTGATAGAATTCGGGAAACTACTGTACCCTGTCCTCTATGCCTCAGTCGCGGCCATGAGCATTCCAAAACGTGCGCAGGAGGGGACAGACCCAGGACCTCTCCCACTATCTCACCCTCTTCCGACCGCASCAGCTCCCAGCCCTGCCCGTCCTCTAACAAAACTGAGGAAACATCCACAGAGGTTCGATGTGGCCTGCAGGCAGCTAAGCCTTTCCGACAGGGAGACAAAGAATATCTTTTAGCACCAATTCCCTGAAATGATGCACATTTCAGCACAGCGAGCTCATCCTCGCGGGCACCGTCCCCGCGGCGCCGCGCCCTGCCCGGCTCACAGGGCGGGGTGGCAGCGCCCAGAGCCGGGGTCTCCTCCAGSTCCAGCCCGCAGGGCGGATCCCTGTCAAGAGCAGCAGCACCGAGCCGAGGCCGTAAGAGACCCCAGCTCCAGAAGCGAGCCCCGACCCGTCACCGCCCCCAGCCCCCGCGGCGGCGCCCCCCGACTCACCGGGCAGCGGCAGATGGTCCCGGTCACGGAGCGGCTGGAGCGACACTTCCGGAGAACGGAGCGGCCGCCGCCCAGCCSGGCAGGAAGGAAGCTGTGGGCGAGACCATCCGCACACGAGGGGGACGTGSCGGCCTCGATCGTCGCTTCGGCGGCCAGGCGCCACGAGCCGTGTCGGGGAGAGGCCCCGCCGTGGCCCGCGCGTTTCGCATTCGTTCCCCGGGGCCTCTGCCTTCTCTGGAGGAGAAAAGCAGAGCCGCGAGCTGAGCCCCTGTGCCCTGCATGTGTGCTCCCCCCTCTCCGGGCGCCGCGTTGGTGCAGCGCGGTGTGGTCACCGCATTCCACGGGCSAGGGGCGGAGGGAGGCGCGCGCCTGCCCTTGTAAGGCAACGGCGGGAGTTTCCTGCTCGCGCTGTGGGCGGGGCCTCGCCCGCTCGCCCCGCCCCCGCCTCGCCTCGCCTTTTCCCGGTCGGGGTTTGCCGGGCGCTGCGGGTATGTCCCGCTTTGCATGGCCGCCAAAATGCCGCTCCCTGCCTCCTGCTCCGCATTCCCGACGGGTTCTGTGCAGTGGGAGCTGCCGGTCCCCAGCCCCGCGTTCGGCAGAGGAACAAGTCCCGTTGCCAGCTGCTTGTGGCTGTGTGGGGCAGCGCGGTGCGGGGCGAGCCGGTAATACAGAAACACAGGATGGGCCGGTTGGAAGGGACCACAGTGGATCATCTGCTCCAACCTCTGTGCTAAAGCACGCAGCACAGGATKGCATCCAGACGGTTCTTGAGTGTCTTCAGTAAGGGAGAGTCCACAGCCTCTCCGGGCAGGCTGTTCCAGTGTGTGGTCACGCACACAGTGAAAACATTTTTCCTCCATTCCTTCCAATGTTCAGGTGGAACTTCCTGTACATCTTGTCTCATTCTTCGGCACCAGTAGGAAGAGTCTGGCTCCATCCTCCTGACACCTTCCCTTCAGATACTTACAGACATTGATAAGGTCCCCTCTCTGTCATCTCAAGGCTGAACAGGCCCAGCTCCCTCAGCCTGTCCTCACAAGAGAGATGCTCCAGTCCCTTGATAAGTTTGTAGCTCTAAACAGCCCAACACATGCCATGGCACTGTCCTGCATGCTCGGCAGGTTCTGGTGTGTCGGGAAGATCCACAGTGTCACAATATCCTGACTTGGAGGGAACCTACAGGGATCATAGAGTCCAGCTCCTGGCCCTCACAGGACACCCCAATAATAAAACCATGTGCCTGAGAGCATTGTCCAAATGCTCCTTGAACTCTGTAAGTCTTGGTGCTGTGACCACTTCCCTGGAGCCTCTTCCAGTGCTCCACCTTCCTCTGGAAGAAGAACCTTTTCCTAGTATCTAATACTGTTTTTAGGCCAAGATGAAGAGGAATATAGGAAAAACAGAAACATCCAAAAAACGGTGACCACAGCTCAAAGAAAGAGACAGCATCATATAGCAAATGGACATGACAACCAGTGCCTGTGTGGCCTAATTTATAACTTTACTTATWGTTCTACTTACTTAATTTTTACAGAGTTTGCAGCTGTGTGTAAAGTCACATAGTTTGTGAAAGCAGTAAGAGATTACCCATATTTCTGATTTTTGGAGGGAAATAAACTTAACTGAGTGTCCAGGAGGTGTGGCCTCCCATGGACTCTCCTGGCCAGGGCACGGAGCAAAACTCTGGGGGAACATCTCTTCTACTCGGCACCCGAAGAGTGCCACTTGCAGTTTTCCCTGTCCCTGTTACTGCCAGCAGTATTTTCTACCTATAGGGAATAGTGGTGGTTGCTGTCACATGTCCCACCTTTCCCTGGGGAGGATGCTGCAGGTTTTTCACCTGAGATGAGCCTGTTCACAGATTTTATTTACTTATGCTTCAAACTCTTTTGCAATTAACTGACATTCTCAAGGAATCTGTTGTGTCATAGCAGGCAGCCCCTGACCCCAAAGACATGAGTTTCTGTTGCAGACTACCTGAGATAACATGGAAGCTGAGATAACCTTTCCTCTCATGTTCCAGAAATTGGTGACTCCTCATGCTGCATAAAAAACTCATGCATGCTTTTAATCACTTTTTTTCCATCTTTTTTCCTTATGTTTCTAGAGTCCAGTGCTTCCACAGCTGGAGTCAGTGGCAAAATTGATGTGTAGTTTATCCAAGTTAGCCTTGATAAGAGCAGAAATCAGAATATTTATCTACTTGAAAGTATTTCTATCCAACAGTTAAATAAATAACACAACAGCAATTATTTCCTAATGTTTTCCTTTGAAAATTCATGCAATACTAACTCATTTTTGTGACCTATACTAAAATAGTTCTTTAGCTTATCCAAAATTGGWATAATGGAAATAACAGTCAAAGGCTRAAATGTCAGTAAGGAATATGCAGGAAGACCTGTCAGAATAATCCTTCGTACCTGGAATCTGTGTCTGGAGAGTCCAGGATATGAGCAGCTGTCAGGTTTAATATTTAACATAATGAGTAATACTTAATATATTTACTTATCATAGAGGACTTTGGCCTACACTTTAAATCACCATAGTTGATTAACCTTTTAATTTTTTTTTTCTGAATAATTTCTTAGTGGGAAAAGGTCAGCAGCCTTTTGTTTTGAGAAGTAGGGAGAAACTGACTCAGTAGATTTCAGGCATCTTTAAGAAATGCAGCAGTAATATTGATTCATGAAGAGTAATCCTGTTTCCAGTAAAAGATAACCAGTTGTAAAAAAATAACATGATTCATTTGTAACATTCTTCTCATTAACTTCCTTCTACTGTATAAAAGTGCCATGAGTTCACTTTACAGATAATGAAAATGAAGCCCAAGTGAGCTAAACAACCATAAATACTAAAGGTGAGGTTTGGGAATGTAAGGGMATTGTCAGTAAATTAGTTTTGGAGTCTACTTTCAATAGGATTTGGAAGTTGCACACTCTCAAAACTCCCACGAGCTTCCAATATTTGCATACCTCACTAACTTTAGAATATATATTAAAGTTGCTCACTTGCTTCTTCCTCAGAAGCCAGAGGTCCCTAAAAAAAGAAATATCGCAAGGCTGCTTTTAAACTCGATTTAAAGAAAGACTATATCTAGACTTAGGCCAATCCTTAGGATTGTAACTCCTTTGTGTGTGTGCATGGTCTCACTGCAATAAATACAGCATTAATGAAGCAGCCAGGCTCCTCTCTTGCCTAGCAGGCATTCTGCCCAGCTCTGTGGTGGYTTGTCTGGGGAAGAAGGATCTGCCTCCCTTGGCTCTCCTGGTCTCTGGCATCACTGCATTTTCCATCTTCCATGTCTTTTCATGCTCCATCATTATAAGGCTCTCCACTACTGTGTTCTTTACAGTTTTGTTGCTTAGGAACTTCTTCTCACTCTCAGTACCTTACTCAGTGTGTGGATTGTTATTTTCCACACCACACACATAGAATACCATTTTCCTCCATGGAATTGATAATAATGTAATTCAGGTTGGCAGTGAATTATTAAGTGAATTATTAAGTGAATTATTAAGTGAATTATATCAATTTACGGGGATGAGTCTGCAGCCACCAAAATCCTGCCTATATGGAAATAAAGGGCCATGATATCACACCCCTTCATCAGTGTGTCTTCTCTGTGAGGATGCATTTTACTGAGAGAAGGACTCTTTATTGAACTGCATACTTTAATGAAGTTCATATGTCATAAAAATCCCAAACAACTCAGTGGGACCTAGGGCATTMAAAGAAACAAAAGCAAAGCACTGTGCTCAAATAGATGATTTACTTACTCTAACAGTAAGTCAAATTTAGCAATTCATCTGATGCTTTTCAAATTATTTGTTTTTCCTAGAAGTKAAATAATTACCAAAGTAGTTAAATAATAATAACAAATTATAACAACAATACCAACAACAATAATATAATCACAATAACAATAATAATGACAACTACTTAATACATTTGCAACAAAGCTCAGAGGAATATATTATTTTATGGTATTCAGTTATGTGAACAATAGGACAATCAGACTGCTTTAGCAAATGAACCAAAGAATCCAGACTACAGTTACATTCTGGGAATTATCACTAGTGAGTCAGGAAAGAAGGAATATACTCTTGAGTAGTTACCATCTCCAGCAAGCAACACATGACTTCCACACTACCGTAAATAATATGAGTTACTTAAACATTGCAACTTCAGCTGGTTCCAGCATGTGGAAGGTGGGTGCCACATCATGGTGGTGCCGTTCTTAGGGCATTCCTAGTGTGGGAATATGTCCCTGTACCTCACTGCCGCGTCAAGATGTGCCTGCGAAGGAGCCAGAGGCGCTGATACTCGCMCCCACCCCGGAGCCCGGCAGCCGCCTCCTGCTCACAGGTTCTGGGGAGGCTGAAAACGATCCCTTCACCTCTATTCCGGATTCCCACCTTGGGCACGCTTGTGTCGCTGCTCAGCGCTCGGAGCGGGCAGCGGGAGCCCGGAGCCGGGAGCCGGTCCCGGTCCCATACCGGCTGTCACCAGCAAGGGGAGCTCCGCATTTGGGCAGGACCCGAGAGACAGCCCGGCCACGCCACCGCCACCGCCACCGCCACGGACAGGAGACGGAGGACCATGTGCAATGACATCAAATCGATGCGGGGCTGAGTCCTGCTGTGGGCTCCGGACGGAAGGGGAAAGACCCGACAAGTGCCGCGGGCTCTGGGGTGACGCTTGAATTTCTGAGCTCTGCAAATCGCAGAATAGAATCACTGAATTATAGAATGATTGGGGTTGGAAGGCACCTTTGAAGTTACTCACCCAGTTCCAACCCTGCTGCCATGGGCAGGGGCATTTGCTAGACCAGGCTGCTCAAACCCCTGTCCAGCCTGACCTCAAACACTTGCAGGGATGGAACATCTGCAAATTCTCTGGGCAGCCTGTTCCAGTGCCTCAACACCCCAGAGGAAAGAATTTCTTCCTAATGTCTAATATCTTCCTGTTATRTGCCCTCTTTCAGTTTGAAGCCATCCCCTCTTGTCCTATCACCACATGCCCATGCAAAAAGTTCCTCTCCAGCTCTCTGTCCTCCCTCTGTGAACTGGAAGGCTGCTATAAAGT